TACGAGATCTCTTTGCATATGGATATTCCAGATTAAGGCCCTTTGCAGACTGCCAGAAATAGTGCAAATTGAGTCCATTTTAAGGGTTAGGGTTAGGGTTAGGGAATCATGGGAACTGTATTTTATTGTGGCATCAGAGCTCTCTGACAGAGAAGGCTCAATGTCCCAGAAAAAACAAACACAATTCCCATGATTCCCTAGCCCTAATCCTTAAAGTGGACTCAATTTGCACTATTTCTGGCAGTCTGCAAAGGCCCTAACATGGCTAAGGCTACATCTGCACTGCAGAAATAATGCTGTTTCACACCACTTTAATTGCTGTGCCTCAATGCAATGGAATTTCGGGATATGTAGTTTTGTGAGACATTCAGTTTTCTCTGTTAGAAACCTCTGATGCCACAACAAACCACAAATCCCAGAATTTTATCTCACTGAGCCATGACAATTAAAGTGTTGTTAAATTGCATTATTTCTTCAATGCAGATGATGCTTAAGTCTGAATTTCTACTGTCATGAATGCAGAACAGTTACCTTGATTTTGTCATCTGCAAATGTTTTGTCTCATATTCTGAGTCGTGTCTGCATATGGGATTCTGTTTGTTTCTCTTTAAAAACCCTTTCACTGTGGCCAAGCGAGAGTAGGCATGCTCACACACATTCCTTTTTATGGACATTTGTGGTCTTGGTGTGATATTATGATTATGATGACTATGATTAAGATAATGATTATTATTTTAATTTATATCCCGTCTTTCTCCCAGTAATGGGACTTAAGGTGGCTTACAACATACCAAAAAACAATACGGATTAAAAATGACACAAAAACGTCAATAAAAGTGTAAATCTAAGCTTTATTTCACAGATAATTAAATGATGTATGAAGTTAAAAATATTAAAAGACTGTATTTGTTGTTGTTGAGTGCCTTCAAGTTATTTTCGACTTGTGGAAATGCTAAGGTGAAACTATCAAGGGGTTTTCTTGGCAGGATTTGTTCAGAGGGGGGCTGGCTTTACCTTCTTCAGAGGCTGAGAGAATGTGGCTTGCCCAAGGTCACCCAGTGGGTTTG